TTTAGCATAGTTTTATCTATTGTAATAGACGACCCACTTCAACAACAACAACGAAACGAGCAAGCGGCAGAGCAAAGCGGCAGCCAGGACGAAGGCGCTGCAGTCGCCTTGCCCAGCACAGCCAGCACGATGCGACCGACGGGACATGGAAGCGACTTGCTTTGACCAACGCGATGCCATCCCGTGGTCTCGGAAAGGCGGGTCATCTGGCTGGCGCCTTGGGCTCCGACGCCACCTCGGCTAGTACGTCGCATGGAACAGGGTGATTCAATGTCTTTGGGCGGGTTGGTAGTACGCAGAAGGCAGAGTACATAGCGCTCGATCAGCGTCGGCAATGGCAGCCATGCTTGGTGTATCGTTGCGAGGTCCATCGCCTGCGCTAGGACGCCGTCGTACGCAGAACTACACAAAACAACACGCTGTGTCTTGCTCGATTGCCATCGTCGCGCTGAGGTATCTCGACAGCTGCCATTGTGCCATCCATCTCGCCTCTTTAACACTGGCGGTACGTCGGTGTGAGGGCGGCAAGGTACACCCACACGGCCAAGACAAAGTTGGGGTAGACGTGAGGCCAAACTCGACGCCGCTCATGGTGTCCGATATCTCTTGAGGGGCGCTGTTTCCTTGGTCGGTTGCAACGACATGGAGCTCGACGAGGTTTACACTTCTTGATAACCATTGCCGACTTGTACCGTGCTCCACCCTCGACGATCCAAGCGGCGACCAAGCACCTCGGCGTCCTCCACGACAAGACGCTACATGGCCGATCCAGCTACGCACTAGCGCTCGGCAGGAACGGCGACTCACGCATGGCCTTGTCGCTCAGCCTCGAGCTCTTTGAAATCTTTCGCCACACGTTGGCCCCCACGACCGGCCGACAAGATGATGGTGATCCGAGTCAACTACGTGTATCTCAGTGTCCGGCGTACTGCAGCGCGCTGGCTCGAGAGGGCACTGCCGGTGCTCGAAGCTACCTTGGGCCCTGACCCCTCGACGACAACGCGAGCTGCGTCGTGCCTGGGCAACATCTACCTCTTCACGGGCCAACTTTACAAGTCGCTCACCGAGCGCCTCGCGGCGACTGCGGAGCAGACGCTCGGGCCCGACAACAGCGACACCAATGTGCACAAGATGAGCGTCGCAGCGCTCGAGCTCATGACTGAGAGCGTACCAGAGGCCACGTCGCTTCTCCTCCGACTCGAAGCGTCTTTGGTCAAGTGCCCCAAGCTCACGCACCAGCTTCGTGATGGTATGCTGCCTCAGGTACATAGCTGCTCTTACCATCCCAATGGCTAGTGCGGGTCAACTTGGGGCTGGCCTACTGGATGGCTGGCAACGATGAATTGGCGTTGGCCTACTACACGTGCCACCTTGAGAGCCACCCCAATAAGGACAACTTGTTGTTGCTCTGCCACTTTGCCGTCCACCTGCCCGTATCGTCCAGTCTACGCGAGGACGCACTCGCCCGCGTCCGCGCCTTTGTCGCGTCGACACAGCATCCGGCGCCCGAGACGTGCACAGCGTGTTGCAAGCCGATCGTCGGCTGCCGCAGCATGTGTCGAATGTGTCCCAAGACACTCTTCTTCTTCTGCAGTCCGTATGTACACCAGCAGCCGGCTCGCGTTCGGTCGTTTTGCAAGCACGATCCAAGTGCGTCCGAGTACGAGACGGTGACGCCGCCTCGTCGGTTCTCGTTCGAAGACGACCTGATGGACAACATGTCCTACGACGAAGGGGACGCTATCTACTCTGCGTATACAGCGTACTGCGATTTGCAACACGTTCGAATGACGGAGCGACTCTCGCGGACGTCGATTCCGTCGTCAAGTCAAGGATGGCATTTCATGGTGTAAATAAACACATGTGATCTCATCACATACAGTTCCATCTTGTTTGCAGCGGGATGATGTGATCTGGCAACCACTTGAATTTCTACTCTTATTGGCTACAATTCGACAAACCCAATACGAGAAAACGGACGTGTTGCGGGGCGCGCCACGTCATGACATTGGATGGGGCGGGTACCTGCATTTTGGGAAAGGACAGAGATTTATACATCACGATTGCATTTTCTTTCTCATACATGTGTCGGAGCGATGACGCTAACCTACGCCGGGGACGCTTGCTCGATGCGCAGCAGTAGGATGCGCAGCTTCTCTTGATCGTCCGGAAGCTCGTCGTCGCACTCATCGCAGATTGTGGTTTGCCATACTGTGGTGCGAGTCGCAG